TTCATGAGGTACTTTACATTGACTGTTTATGGTTGAATGTGGGCGTGTAGAGGGTAAAACTTGAGGCGGGACCTCGTGCGCAAACTCTGACGTGCGGCTGTGATTTATAAAGGAAAGATGCGCAGAAACGTGCGTACGCATGGTTTTATAAATCTGAAGGGTTTTTTGGCGTACGCCATTTCCGCCTTTTGGCCGTACGTTCACTTTTAGGATGGTTTCCACGCAATCCTTTATAAATGAGACCCCAGATCTGAATCTTTGTTTTTATCAGTAAATGTGCAGCATCGGTGTGTGCCTGCAGGAAAAACACATTTGAGGTGGGTTTGGACCGTGAGCTGCACCGCGGCATGTTCCAACCTGCTCTGAAGCAACGTCAGAACCAGAAACCAAACATGTTAAACATCAGGGCTGAAATCAACACTGTTCTTTATTTTATTCACCTAGCTGTTGTAACGCCTCATTCTGTTAAACAACGTTGGTTTTTATGTTTTTGTTGGAGTCTGAACCTTTGTGTGTGTGTGTGTGTGTGCGTGTGTGCGTGTGCGTGTGCACACCCTCAGAGCCTGAAGATGCAGCAGTACAGATTCAGCGTGGTCATGAACGAGCTCCACGGTACTGATAACGTCCCGTTCATGGTGGCTCTGATGGGCCTGATCAATGTTCTGATCCTGGGACAAGAAGAGCTGCGGCGGAGGGTCCGACTGCGCCACGAGTTCATCGGTACCACAAAACACACAGAACACACACCTCATCAGGGATGATGGCAAAATCATACCATGTGCAGATAATCATCAGAAAAACTCATGTATTGTTAAATGATTAATATGATTAATGCTGCTGAGTGGACTGACCGCTCCTCTTATTATATAGAACAGAAATTCATAACCCATTGGGCCACGAGCGCCACCTTGAGGGCCTCAAAAGAACAACAGTTTTTACCTTTGGGCCACAGAGGGCCGTGGGACCGCATTGATTTTGAATAAGTTGCAATACACTTTCTCACCACTAGTAGCAGTAGTGCGCCACTCAGTTGTTTAACAACTTTAATACAGTATGTTGAAGAGCCTTAGAAACCTGCTGAGAATGGAAACCAATTTTAAATTAAAAGTAGAAGCAAAAATGAAGGTAATCCATCAAAAAAGGCCAAAGTTTGTCACTAATATGAAGTGCAGCTTCTGTTTTTACCA